TTCCGGACCGGGGGTTATCCAGTGACTGTAACATCCCTGTCGTTTGACTCCTCCCACCAGGGGCAGGGGTCAAAATCATAGCCGATCTCTTTTCATAACTGAGCCTAATTCCTTGTTTCTTACCCGGCTTCCAGCACTGAAGCGTGCCTCCCCTGTACACTCCACTGCCTTACTACATGCAGTGTTTTTACCCCCGGGAGATGACCCACTCGGCCACCCAGCCAAACCCCTTTACTTTTCTCCCAGAGACAACGGTCCCCTCCGTGATGTCCGAGCAGGGATGGAGCTGAGATGTAGCACTGAGGGCCTCACTTGTGAGCATTAAATAGCCTGTGGACGCTTTCCTGAGAATTGTGTCACTGTCCTGGAACTGCTAGTTATGCTCCATGTCTGCGAGCGCCCTCTGCGGTCTCCTACGACTGAACACTCGGCCTGCTCTGTATGCCATGGGGAATCTTCTGAAATATTTTTATAAGTTCTATGCGTGCCTCAGTTTCCCTCTGTATTTTGCAGTGCTGCGCAATGGGTGCCTCCTGCCCAAGTGCGGCACTCAGGTAAAAACTGAAAGGGTCTCCCCATCTTGGACTTCAGTGCACAGCTGGTCACCAGTGGGAGAAGGGTCAGGAAGGATCCCCGGCCCCGCTCAGCAGCACAGCCTGGCCCAGACAGGCGCATTGGAGGACCCGAACTCTTCACCAGACTTCAGCCCCCCATGGTTTCCAGCTGGGCTCTGAGCTCCATGTGCAATCTAGCGGAGGGCTGCACACGCTGCCCCGGCTGGCCGTGGGGAACGGGACGAGCACCTGGCCTTGCTGGGGTAACGACCGCACTTCCCTAGCACCACTGGCCCCCGGGCCCAGCAGACAGCGAGGCCAGGACAGACCCTCTCTCTGGGGCCTGACAGAACCATTCAAACAAGCCCAGGAGTCAGGCTATGAGCCTTGCCCCCAGAACTCACCTCGAGCCCCTCTGCCGTGCCAGGCCGGGCTCTGCAGGGAATGGGGGCGGCTTTTCCTGGGGGCAGGGGATAGTGCCACACAGCACACCCCCTTGCTTGAAGCAGGCACCACTGGAGTACATCCCCCCTCGCCCTGGCCTCTCCACGCCCTTCATCTCAGCACCCGCCCTCCCCGCACCCCAGCACAGTGCCCGCGCCAACCAGGGCCGGCTCCAGGCACCAGCTCAACAAGCACCTGTGGCAATTTGGGGGCAGAAGGACCTGCTGCTGAACTGCCGATCGCAGCTTTTTTTTTTTTGCTTGGGGCGGCAGAAATGCTGGAGCCGGCCCTGGTTGGCGCGGGCACAGTGCTGGGGCGCGGGGTGGGCGGGTGCTGAGAGGAAGGGCGAGGAGAGGCCACGGCGAGGGGGGTTGTAG